ATTCGTGGATCCATTACAGGTGGTCATACTTTGTGAGATCTTGAAACGGAGTTGCCGTTGGGCCTTCGCCTGTTGTATTTCTAGATAGTGGTCGGCCGTGTAGCCTAGGTCAGGCTTCCGGAGCACACCTAAGTGGCGCTTACACGCGCATTTCGAGGCCTGGTTGCTTGGTTAGCTTTAAGACGCGAGTTGGTTTGCTCGCCGTCGCACTCCTGCACGCACGTGTTACACACGAGATTTGCCGACATGCGACGGTAAGTGCGTGGTCGAAGTACTGATTCCGCACGGCAAAGCTCACTCGCCACACACGTTGGACCTCCCCCAAATTGTTGGTGCATGTACAGGATGTCGCAAAGGCAGTGGAAATGTACGACGAGACCGTGGCCATTCTCACTGACGCTCTACCTCCGAACGACGAGGGAATCTCCCGGTGGTGTCGCAGTGTGGGTCAACATCTCCTCATGAAAGTGAGACACGCTTGCTTGTGCGCAAACCACCCTACATACATTCATGCCCAGGTTGTCCTAGTCTTGATGTCAGAAATACCACGCCCGCCTCCACGAAGGCCTGTGCCTACAGCCGTATCGCGCTGTGTATTGAGCTCACTAAGGAATTGCGCCCCCAAAAAGCTGGAGATCAACGCGGCACGAATGTATGTGTCAGGAGTCCCAACGGAGTACATGTACTGGCCGACCTGTTTGAGCCGCCGAGCAATTGCCGTGTGTTAGGCGATGCCTACGGTTTACAAACACCTCGGTAGCCGAGCCACCCCGAAAGTACCTAAAGATCGCCGCAACACCTAACGAGTACTGCCGCCCTGATTTCCGTCGTGATCGATGGGTTTCGTGACGTCGAATCGTGCCAACGCGTTGCTGGGTGCTTGCTCACCTTTGACTTTGACTTTGAGTTATCTATAGGCTACATTTCCCCATATTTATCGATCAATTTCCCTTGTTTATCGATCACACGATTCGCAGCAGCTGATGTTTCCGCATAACGACGCAGGTGTTGGGACCGAGGTACACTCTAAGATAGCAAGTCTTGAACATACGTCACGGCGGTTTGTACTTGCCCTGAATAACGTGGGTGGAAACAGGCGTTCCACTCAGCTTAGAGCAACTGCAAGACACTGCTCTCGATGGACCGAACCGCAGCATGTGTTGACTCCTTGAGAGCTGCTGATGGTGCTCCGCCGAGTGGTCTTCCCTAATCTCTGACCGTCGTGTGATTCATAACCAATTACAATAGGAACAAGGTGCGCCCGGAGAGAAATTCTTGAAACAGGCGCTGCTCATGGAGTTGGGCGCATCTCGAGAAGAGGGCCTTGCTCACATCGGCGTCCTCCACTCTCACTTGGCATGTGCGCAGATGATGCAGGTATCTACTGTGGTATCGACGATTCTCACATAGTTTGGTCGATTCTGTATAGACTAGAGTGCCAGAACGGTCCCTGCAGCTGGTGGACACGGCATTGGTGCTGCTGTCAGTGCGAAAGCTATCTGTCATTTCCTCCCACGCCATGCAGTATAGGTTCTGCGTGAATCCTCTCGAAAATGTAGCTTTTGCGCGCCGTGAGCGCCGTGCGGTGTTTGTAATGCTTCAAAGAGGCTGCGTATGTAGGAGATCATATGTATGATATCTCGTGCGCATTGCATGCCTTTACACATCCTGAAGTTCCGCCGTTGTCGCCACCATTGTACGATACCTGCAGTTTGCTTCTGCCGGAGCACCTACGTTGTAGTAAGATAATCAGCAGAGCCGCACCGGTCGGAAGGTTCACATCCGCCACATGTGAGCAGGTGTTCGTTTTCCCTCGCACGAGTGAGTCACTTACCGCCGTGCCCATCTTTCGTGCATTTGCCACACTACTTTGCTACCGTACCAGGGTACACAGAGTAAGCTGGAGGAGGCGCTGCAGAGCTTCACCGAAGCTCTGAGAATCGGACGAGATGTAGGGACTTCAGAGTACCCTTCCCTCGCCCATGTGCTGAGGAAAACTGTCGACGTGCTGTGGCTCCAGGCAAGTCAAGCACAGGTCGGACGTAGACCGCTGACATTTGTAGAATTTTTTTTTTTAATTCCTGCACACCAGCCTCGTTCGTTCGCTCTGTCTCGTGCCTCAGTGTGCTTCAGACTGTCGAGGTTAGCTGCCATCATATGAATGCGCTGCTTCCCAGCCCCTTGCCTCGATTGTCAGAGCTGGGCTACACATTCGTCGCAATTGGTAGCGAATGGAAGCGATCTGCACGCAAGTCCGAGTGTACCGCAGTTTTTTTTTGTTCACGCGTTCGGGCCCGATTACAGTTACCGTAGATAGCTGAATTGCTTCGAAAATTCTTAAACAGCGCGAAGATAGTGCAGGCTTCGACGACGAAGTCTGCTGGGGAAAGGACTTCCCAACAAACCCGTTCTTGGCGAACTTGCAGTTGCTGTCAAGAGTTGTCGCTCCTGCCTTGTTGGACGTGCGTTTCGGCTACATTCACTTGACTTGCTGTGTACTTAGACTATTTATACGCGTAGTTAGAAGTAGCGGTGCTCATAACATGGAGGAGGCTGGTCGATCGAGTTACAAAACGTCGATACTTGACTGGAGTACAAGATTGATTAAACTTGTGGACAGGCATAGAGCTCTGAATTGTTTTTGCATTACAGCATCGACAATGGTCACCAAATTTCTGGAGTATATGCATACACTAGGGGAAACAACAGGGCCCCCGCGCCTGTTTGCGGCGCGGGGGCCAGACTCAGAAGGGGTGATTTTGATGTGAAGAGGTCGAGACGGTTGGGGGTACATATGAATGAAAAAGTCGAAAGGACATTGTTCCAGTAAGGGCAGCTTAGGATATATTGTCACAATGGATTATGATGACCCGAGCATAGCGCAGTGTCAACGAAGTCCAAAGATGCATTGATAACTCGGCCAAAATCCATATAAAGGATAAAGAGACGCGGAAACTATAACCGCAATGGCTGGCGACAAGCGAAGTGAAAAAATCGCAGCATTTGATTGATGAGATGAGCGAGGAACGACGCAAAAATACGACGGAACGTTGTGTGCAATACAAAACACATTCGTCACCATGAAGATAACTGGCAAACGAAAATACCTTACACAGCAGGACGGATTGTGGGCAGTAATCGTGCCGCATGTCGTATGCGCCGTGACTTTGAAGGGCGTGATTTTATTGCCGGGGTACGTGCGTTGTGTAGTTGTTGCAGCTTTCACCTAGCCTGCAGACTTGCAAACACCATGAAGATTCGTTATACATTTGTACCATACATGTTAGGACGAAAACTGTTGAAACATGGAGATAGGCGCTGGTGTGGTACTCTTTGGTTGCGGAGATAAATTCTACTCCGTATGTCGGATGCGTCGCACTACTACTGCTGTATGTACACCACATAGGATTGCCAACGCAGTGAAGTTGCAAAAAAGACAAGCCTCTGCATGAGGTGTGCGACGGATACAGGCGTGTGCAGTACTTGGCATGAAGGACGATTGGTGATGTACGCAGTACTGCTGTATGTAGCGCGCGCGGTCGGACATGCTGCAGGTGTGCGTCCGTGCGTACCGTTGTTGAGACATGTGCACGCTACGCCACAGGCATCCATTCGCCACCCACAACGCTTTGTTCGAGTGTATGCACGATTGGTACAACTTCGTTTCAAGGCGAGGTGGACTACCGCCCGGAAAGGGTGGGTTCCCAAACAAAAATGTTTGTGGAAAAAAAAAAAAAAAAAAATGCCCATACTATTTCCTAGTAGTGCGACGTACGGTCACGTACGGTCATCCTGTGAGTATTATATTAGTAAGATACGAGAATCCAAAACCGGCCGTTTGCATTTGCTTGATTTTTAAGGTGAGTGGCACCTATGCGTGGGGGTGCATTATACAGGCGAAGCATGTTCGCACAGGGTACTTGCTGTATGTGTGTGTGGTTCAGCGTGAGGTTCAATTTTCAAATAGATCGATGTTAATGGAAAGGTGAACCCATAAATAGCAGCATGCTAAAAGCGCAGTGAGGACATATGTGTGTGTAGGGGTTATCAGTGCATCATGAGCGAGTGGTTTGACGCAGTGGTGTCTGTGGTACAGTAGTGGCGACTACCGTAAAAGTGCGTGCTATCGCACACTGTGCGATCGGTTTTTTAAATGTTTTCAAACTGGCTTTTTTTATCGCACAGGTGTGCGATAGCCCCGACATGTGCGATAGCACCGACCCCAGTGCGGAAATCGAATTAAATGTTTTGGTTATGCTCTTGTAGCGCACACCCCTGTGCGATAACCCCGACATGTGCGGTATTGACTAAATCACGTAGGTGTCACACGGTGCTATATACTGCGATACACATACAAGCATACAAGTGGAGCTAGCTCCGACGACTTACCGTATCGCGAGACAAACGCACAAATGATTGCGGCTTGGTTGGGTTGTGCCCTTGCACACTCGCGATATCACGCAACCTCACGCCCAAGTGGGTTTTTTGTAGTCGGTGCTATCGCACTGTGCGATAGCACCGACCCCTGTGCGAAAACCTAATTTTAAGACTTCATCTGGCTTTTTTTTATCGCACAGGGCACCCCTGTGCGATAGCACGCACTTTTACGGTATTTTTGCAACACCCGCGCTATAACCGGTGGGAGCCGTTTTCGCCGCCCCTAAAGCTTCATGTCTGCATTCCGTCTGGCGTGTCCGTTTATGCACAGGGCAGAAAGGAGGAGGCTGTCGAGAAGCTAGCGGAATACGTAAACATTCTAGAACGGACTCTTCCTCCAGAACACCAGGAACTCGTCGAGGGGCGGCAGTTGTTAGCTTCAACAGCACGGGCTTGAGGCATGCCGGCTGAGCCAGTTGGGACTTTGACGTTATCGGGAGTAGCGCAGGGGATGATGACGATGATGATGATGGAGGGGATAGCGCTGTAGAGCAATGACTCTTCCCCAATAGCGTTTGCATGGTTACATCTCGTCCAGGAGATCTTGAGTTTGTCTGTCTTCATTACGCAATGTCCTCGATCCTCTTCACATAAGTCCTGATCGGGACTTTCTTCCGCCAAACTACCTTCTGCCAGGTATCCTTTTCGATCTCGGGCAGATTATCGTTCTTCTTCATGTAGGCGATTATCGCTGACCGTGCCAGCTGAGCATCCTCCGACCTGCCCTTCATAGACGAGATCCGCCGAGATGCGTTGCTGCCGGTGTTCCTACTCGATGACGGTGGCGCCTTCGATCGGGAATCAGGCTCGGGCGCAGAGGGCGTGGCGGACTCCATCTTCTTGAGCTTCCCCGCGATCAATTGTAGCATCTCCGCCAGAGCCGCCACGGTGGACTCGAGCTGCTTGATTCGGCGGCCTTTGTTCTTTATTTTCAACGTGTTGGCCTTGATGCGTTTGTAATCGTCCTTTTCCTTTTCCTCGAGCTTGAAAAGTCTGGACCTAGATGATGATGACATGGCGAAGCTGGCGAGTTGTGGAAAGTGGGAAGGTGGGGAGTGGGGCTAATGTTTCGAGTTTTTTTTCGAAACGTTGGAACAAAACTCGGTGTCGCGCGCGCGGCGGCGACGGTTTCGTGGCGTCGGCGTCATCGACGTCGTTGGCGTCGTCGAACGCCGCAGTTACTTGTCAATGTTCCCGGTCAGAAGTTGAATGTCAAGTTCTTTGATTCCAAACGTTAAACTTGACCACCGGAGGCAGATAGGAACAACGTCTTTGTTCTGCGTGAGTTCGTCCAACACACACAGCGGTTCTTTGATTTCGTGGTCGATGACGACGACGGCGATAGAACAGCCGAGAGACTCTAGGAACGCGCCGAATGTCACCGTGTCGATCCAGCAGTTGGTGTTGAGGACATGTGCTGCCAATTTGGGTATGGAATCGAAGGGCTCTTTGTTGTCCGCACTGGCGATGCTGTTGTACGCCTCCAGGTCGTCTTGGTCGATGCTGGTCGAGGTAATGTAGCTCACAAATTTCGGGGTGAAGATGTCGGGTGACTCCACGCCAAGTTCGAGGACGCGGTGCCAGTGATTCCTCAACATACCCTTTATCTTTTTGTTTTCCCCCCAGCTTGGCATCGACTCGTTCAGAGCAATCGCGATCGATGAGTAGAAACACGACCCGTCTGCATCGACGGGGAGGAGCCTGATGGCCCAATCTTCGATCATGGTACCAAAAATATCATAAATTACAAATGGTGCGTGGCAAGCGCGACTCACACGATGGATTGGTTGCGACAAAATTTCAAAATTGTTTCAGATGCTCCGCCAGGTCAATATTTGGATATTATTTTAAATTTCTCAGGCGCTTGCTTATTATTCTACATTTAGAGTAGGCCTTATTTAAGCTTTCAACCACTTTTCCTTGGATACTTCTGGCCTCCTTGAAGGCCGTCTTATACGGCTACAACCAAGACGTTTTTCTCTTTTTTTTCGGAAAAAAGAATGTCTTTCTGTTTTCGTCGATGTCGTTAAAGGTTGGTCGACACCGACGACGGCGACGCGCAGCGTGTTTTACGTTGCCTGTTTCCGATCAGTGGAAGGGTACACTCGATCGCTTGTGTCGTACGCAAATAGCTAAATTATTGTCGGACTGTGGGTTTTTTGCTAAGATTTTGATTTTAGTTTTGTTTAAATCGGATGTCGGATTGCAATCTGAGCCCGACTCAGTTTTTTTGTTTTTAAATCGAAAAAGAAGACGTCGTCTTCTGACGAAAGAAGCCTTCCGACAGGCTGTCAGAAGGCTTCTGCAGCAGCAGCAGCAGCAGCAGCCAAGCGGAGGAGGTCCGTCACAAGGCTTAAGAAAGAGAGAGTGTGTGACGAACGTGTGTTTATGTGTGTGTGAGAGAAGGTTGGGTGAAGCAGCAAGACAGAACAAGGAAGGAAGACAAGCGGCGCGTGAGAAGCGAGTCGAGTCGTCGGATCGGTTCGTCGGGACGTCCCAGCAAGCGAAAGCGCGAGATACACAACAGATCTCGCCTCCTACTACGGCCACAGCAGCAGTGGTGGTCGAGAGGAGCTAGGGACAAGCGTAAGAGTTTGGTAGCAAGCGGTGAGGTCACGAGACGAGGCGGTCGGACGACGTCGTGAATCAAGCGGGGCGTGTGTTCGTCGAAACTAGATTGCAGCAGAAGGGGTCGTGTGTGTCGGTGAAAGGAAGGATCGGCAGCAGCAGCAGCAGCAGCAGCCAAGCGGAGGAGGTCCGTCACAAGGCTTAAGAAAGAGAGAGTGTGTGACGAACGTGTGTTTATGTGTGTGTGAGAGAAGGTTGGGTGAAGCAGCAAGACAGAACAAGGAAGGAAGACAAGCGGCGCGTGAGAAGCGAGTCGAGTCGTCGGATCGGTTCGTCGGGACGTCCCAGCAAGCGAAAGCGCGAGATACACAACAGATCTCGCCTCCTACTACGGCCACAGCAGCAGTGGTGGTCGAGAGGAGCTAGGGACAAGCGTAAGAGTTTGGTAGCAAGCGGTGAGGTCACGAGACGCGGAGGTCGGACGACGTCTCGTGAATCAAGCGGTGCGCGTGTTCGCCGAAACCAGATTACAGCAGAAGGGGTCGTGTGTGTCGGTGAAAGGAAGGATCGGCAGCAGCAGCAGCAGCAGCAGCCAAGCGGAGGAGGTCCGTCACAAGGCTTAAGAAAGAGAGAGTGTGTGACGAACGTGTGTTTATGTGTGTGTGATATGTGTGTGTGAGAGAAGGTTGGGTGAAGCAGCAAGACAGTAGTACAAGGAAGGAAGACAAGCGGCGCGTGAAGCGAGTCGAGTCGTCGGATCGGTTCGTCGGGACGTCCCAGCAAGCGAAAGCGCGAGATACACAACAGATCTCGCCTCCTACTACAGCCACAGCAGTAGTGGTGGTCGAGAGGAGCTAGGGACAAGCGTAAGAGTTTGGTAGCAAGCGGTGAGGTCACGAGACGCGGAGGTCGGACGACGTCTCGTGAATCAAGCGGTGCGCGTGTTCGCCGAAACCAGATTACAGCAGAAGGGGTCGTGTGTGTCGGTGAAAGGAAGGATCGGCAGCAGCAGCAGCAGCTAAGTGGAGGAGGTCCGTCACAAGGCTAAAGAAAGAGAGAGTGTGTGACGAACGTGTGTGAGTGAGAGAGAGAGAAAGAGTATTACTGTACGTAACGGAACAAGAGGTCCAAAGAAGGCCAGCCCAAGAAGGCAATAAGAAAAGAGCCCAAAGAAGGCAAGCCCAACCAGAAGGCAAAGAAAAAGATCCAAGTAATAAGGCCACTTGTTACGCTGTCTCTTTTTGGGCTGTCCCTTTTCTCAAAAAG